GATAATTATCGACATTGCATGAACAGGGGGTACTGAGTGGTGTATTTTTGTATGCACAATCCTCTGACTCCATCAGCTGTGTCTCTTTTATAGGTTTGGGAATGGTGGCCGAGAGAATATGGCGGACCGGCCGAGCCTCGCCTACTGCGACAGGTCCTCTTCTTTTCCCTGGTCCTCTTCCATCTCTCCATCTCCCCCAACTGCGTTTAAGTTCCTCCTCTGTCCCAGAGGTACTGCGTTACCCCCCGATCCTCCACCACGTTCGCCGAACTTCTCCCCCCACGGTGGCAACCATCCGACCTTGACCTTCGCTGCCCTCACCGGGCAGTCCCTCAACCAATGTCCCTTCTCCCCGCACTCAGTACACTTCCCTTCCTTCCTCCTTGCCTCCCACAGTTCGGGAGATGGCCTAGGCCATTGGCGGCAAAGTTCGTCGGCATTGGACGGAATGTTCTTGACCTGCGTCGATGTAATAGTCGCTTGCACCGCAGACTGCGCCGAAGTTTGCCTCCCTTCCCCTCTTTTCTCCTCTTTTCTCTCCATCCTCTGGCTATCCACAACTAACACTTCCTTTACCCCCGTCTCCCTCTTCTTTTCCGCATCCTTCTCCACTTTCCTTCTCCACAACCTGTTGTCCATGGGGATAACAAACTCCAATAACTCCTTGACAGTCCCAAAAGATTTACCATGTCTAGCAATTTCATCTAGGAGGTGTGGTATCAACCCTTTCCTGGCTCGGTCAACCAGGTTTCCGTCATCAGACCACTTGAGTATCGCCACATGTCGTTGAAAGGCGGAGAAGTACTCCGAAGCTGACCCAGTCTGCCTTAGATCGTTAAGCAGTCGAGCTGCGGTTCCTTCTTTATCCTGGTCACCAAAGTTTGTCTTGAGATATTTAACGAATTGATCATACTCCCTAAGGTAGTCAGGAAGAGGTCGTTTAGCAAGATCGGGTTGGACGGCGAGAAGAGGTGTTTCGCGTAAATGAGAGATCATGAAGAAGACTTTCTTGGTGTCGTTGGGGAAAAGATGAGAGTTCAGTTCGTAATGGATTTCACATTCCGACAGAAATGCGGTCAACTTGTTCCTCTCTCCTCTCCAGAATTCCGGATTAGGCAGTTTTATCCCCTTCCGTTGTTCGCCAACTACGCTTGGGGTCGCCGAAGTTTGCCGTCCCATGGCGTACCTCACCCCTTCTGATATCCCTTCTGCAATACCGCCCACCGTCTCCCTTTCTCTCCTCTGCTCCCACTCCTCCCTACGCCGTCTCTCTTCCATCATGTCTTTGTTCATATTCGCCACCATCTGCATCAAGGCCGATATCACCCCTTGTGTACCTTCTTCTCCCAAGTTCGCCGTACTTCCAGTGTTTTCTGGCCGCGGGGTTTGATCCGATCCAACTGGGGATCCTATAGGTGGGAGAGCATTACCCGAAGGGGTAGGAGGATTAGAAAGCAATGATGGAACGAACTCATCTTCTTGAATTGATCCCCCCACACTATCCTCCACTCCAAGCTGCTGCCCCATCGCTCTGCTAAGCTCCTCCAGTGCTCTCCTCTCGTTCTCCTCCATCCTGTCTCCGTCCCTACTCATACCTCGCGTAACTCTCCTATCTGGTTCCATAGAATCTTCGTACTTCTCCGAGGTTCGCACGGGTCGTCGGTAAGAGCGATCCTTGATACTGTCACGCCCGTTGAACAACTATCTTCTGGCAGACCGACGGTCGACGAACCTCGGCTAACTTGACGCTCCTGAGTCGATGTCTCACCCAACCGGGAGGGCGCAGACGTCGAAAGGAGTGTAACTACGGCGTACTTCGGCGTAGTTACTCTAACTGGGGTTTTGTTCTACTGATGGCGATGTATCTCGAATTGTATATAGCTATCTCTATCTGTTTTTCACTACTGACAACAATCAAGGATCGCTGAAGAACTTCAGCGATCTTCTCAGCTAATATTATCTATCCCTCCTAGACGTTCATCCAACCCTCTCGCGCTTTGACGTACTTCAACGCACTTCGTCCAATTTCCCCGAGTCCTCGGCCATCCTCTTCCTCCTTCGACTAACTCCGCCTAACATCGCCGCACTTCTGCTTCTGTTGTCCCTACCTAGTCTAACTCCGTCTAACTTCGCCGCACTTCTGCTCCCATTGTCCCTACCTAGCCTAACTCCGTCTAACTTCGCCGTACTTCTGCTCCCATTGTCCCTACCTAGCCAAACTCCGTCTAACTTCGCCGTACTTGGTCTCAGATGTCCTGAGTTACGTGTAGAGTAAAAGGGTTAAGGCGTGATAGGGTTTTGGATGGTCAAAGGAGGGTCATTGTTGGTGGAATAATCGCGGTGGTGGAATAATCGAGGTGTCACGACGTAGTTCGTGACAGAGTGCCTCGAAGGTACCCATACATGAACAGGATCTTCCTGCGGTCTGTAGCGTACTCGGCTCCTTTGAATTCAAAGTTCATGTGGCAGGCCGCCAGGAAGTTGTCAAGTTCGCCGCGTTCCCCACTAAAAGTGGGTGGGTCTGCACACCTGGTCCTTCCAAATTGCTCATTGTTGGCAAGTCTCTGATCCAAGAACGGTTTGTTTTCCTCAAATTTGATTGAAGTTGCTTTCTTTGGAACGAGTAATTGGTTCTGTCGGTCAGCTTTTATTGTAGCCAATTCTTCCTTTAATGTGTTCTGTGTCACGCGGCACCACGTGACATCATCTTTTCCCATCAATGAGGTTCCTTTGGACGTCAGTTCGCCATCAACGATCCAGTTCTCATGAACTTCATCACCCACAAGGGTATTAGGAGGCCAGCTTCGTCGAGGACGAAGTTAGTCATGTAGGAAGTTAGGGAGATACGAGGTTAGGGAGATACAAGGTTAGGGAGATACGAGGTTAGGGAGATACAAGGTTAGGGAGGTATGAAGTTAGGGAGGCACGAACTTTGTTGGGGACAAAGTTCGTGAGGTACGAAGCTCGGGACTTTGGGCTGAACGAAGTTCTGCGTTGAAGAAGTTAGGGAAGGATGAAGTACTTAAGGGCCAAAGTTCCCAGAGATCTTTGACGATCTCTGGTTGTTGTCTTAGTGATAGAAGTTAGTAAAGCGCAAAGTTATTACACTCAGAAGTTATTGTCACCTATTTCATATTTCGAACAACGAGGTTATTAATGGTTCAAGCCCACGAAGTTAATGGCCGTCAGTCCTAGGAGGTTAACGAAGAAACAACCCTGTGACATTCTGTTCCTTCTGCTGCGTAGTCATAATGGCTAACAACTGCGACAACTGTTGGGCTAATTCATTCAGCAGGTCTGGGGTGGGAGCAATAGGAGGGGGATCATGTAAAATGGTACTTCTCAAAGAACTCGGTGGTATCTCTGTCTCTGGGACCAGCCCTTCTTCCAAAAACTCATCTCCAGGTACCATTTTGCATGCTCTTCCTCTGGTAAGCATACAATCCTTTTCTAATTCGACCCAAGGCGCGTAAGGCTGATTCTTCAACTTGTAACGGTACTGGAAACACGATGACTAAGTCGCAGGTAGGGTTGAACTCAATGGAACTCTCGTAGAAGTCTATGTATCTCCGTGTCACGGCCGTTGAATGACTACTCTCTAACAGACCGACGGTCGACAAACCTTGAATAACTTGACGCTTCTAAGTCGATGTCTCACCCAACCAGGAGGGCGCAGATGTCAAAAGGGAGTGTAACTACGGCGTACTTCAGCGTAGTTACTCTGAATGGGGTTTTGTTCTACTGATGGTGATGTATCCCGATTTGAATATAGCTATCTATTATAATAACAGATGATGAGAGGCTAAATTGGGGGGATAAACCACGTGGCTGGCGGCGACGCCCGCAGGCCGGAAGCGAGACGATAAACTAGGATTCTGAGAGAGCGAGACAGCGAGACAGCGAGACAGAGAGAGACAGCGAGACAGAGAGAGACAGAGAGAGACAGAGAGAGAGAGACAGAAGAAAGAGAGAAAAGAGAGAGTAGCTACGGGTCCACGGGTCTGAGAGAAAGAGAGAGGCCACGGGCTCACGGGTTGCAAACCAAAAAAGAAGGAGATGGGCCTGTCAATTTGACAGGTTGGCACGCTAGTCTATTATAATAACAGATGATGAGAGGCTAACTTTCGAGACAAACCACGTGGGAGTCGCGTGCGCGCGAGTAGGGGGAGCGTAGTGGGAGCGTAGTGGGAGCGTAATGTAGGGGGAGCGTAATGTAGGGGGAGCGTAATGTAAGAAAGCGTAATAGTGAGAAAGCGTAGTAGTTGTCTCATGCATACCCTGAGGTGTCGGAACCTGTCTCATGTCTCATCTGAGGGAACCTGCCTGTCAGAACCTGCCTGTCAGAACCTGCCTGTCAGAACCTGCCTGTCGGAACCTTGGGGGGATTGACCCGAGTTTTCGATCCCCCAAAATCCCCTAAATAGGGGGTGAACGCGGCCAAAATCGACTTTTTTTTCGTTTTCTCACGTTTTTTTGCGCTCACCAGTTCCGTGACATGTAATTTGGCTCAGAGACTTCCCTGCCACCTATAGGGGAGAAAGAAAAAGTCGGACGATCCCCGGTCCGGGTGCATTTTTGCACTTTTCAGTTTACGCTACTGCCGTTCTACGCAACCATTCACGGGGCTCTCCGAGGCGACTCGCATCCCCGTTCACACTGTGCACCTTTACACCGTCATCGTGACCATTCACGGGGCTCTCCGAGGCGACTCGCATCCCCGTTCACACTGTGCACCTTTACACCGTTATCACGATCATTCACGGGGCTCTCCAAGGCGACTCGCATCCCCGTTCCCACTGTGCATCCCTTTGCACCATACCCGTCAGTTGCCTTGCATACTATTTGAAATGGGCTGAGCTTTTAGATTCTTACTTAACCTCATATATAAATCTTTCTACATTACATCATGAGCCTTCAGGGGCTAAGCCGCCGTCAGCTTGCACAGCGAGCACGGCGTGAAAGGGAGCGGGGCACTCGACAATTGACAGATGTTGGACATGATGAGGACACGGACATGGATCCACCTCCGACCGGTGCAAACACAGGTGTTTCTCGACGAGAAGCTGGACAGCAATCCAGGCAAGACCGGGAACGTGCTCTCTCACACTGCCGTGCTCGACAGGAATACACTGATGGGACCTCTGCTCATCAATTGGGCCGCTGTGAGGTCCCGTTCCCAAAATGTGGTGCGTTACACTGGCTTGAGGAACGTGCTATCAACATTGCAGCTGGAGGGGAACGCTCATCCTTGGCTAATCCCCTGTTCTCTGGCTGTTGCTCAAATGGGGCGGTGCAGCTCCCACTTCCATTGGACCCTCCACTTGAACTTCGAGATCTCTTAACGGATCAAACACATCGTAAGCTGGCATTATTTTAATTCAATGGATGAAATGCTGACTGTCATCAGAAGGTAAGCTGCGACGGGAGCAGCTCCGAAATTATAATAATTCTCTTGCTTTCACCTCAATGGGTGTTGATAAGCAAGACATGCAAGTTTGGGGACCTCAAGGGATATACACCTTTCGTATTGGTGGACGAGCATACCACCAAATCGGGGCATTACTTCCTGAAGCTGGAGAACATCCCCGATTTGCTCAAGTTTTCCTGGCGGGTCTGTCTGAAGCAGAACAGGCTGCTCAGCGAAACATTCACATCCGAGGGAGAGGTGAAGAGGGTGTTCTAACCCGCCTGGCTCAGATGATAGAAAGGGTGAACCCATACTATGCTGCTTTCAAGACTTTTCGTGACCGTGACAGGGAATCCGAAGAGGACACACCAATTCTGTATCTTACGATTCTGAATCCTCTGCAAAACGACCCTCGCAGATATAACCGACCTACGTCAGATGAAGTTGCATGTGTATATGTTACTGATGAAAATGAACCGTCCCCGGGTCGTCACATTCAAGTTTATTTGCGAGGCGGTGGGGTTCGCAACATTAGTGAACTCCACTCAGCATATCTTCCCCTGCACTTCACTCTTATATACCCACACGGAGAGCCGGGATGGCATCCAAGGATCCCTTTGGCTGGGCAACCACTGGGAGATGATGACGAGATTGGTGAGGGGGAAGATATTGAGGATGGAAATGCTGGAGATGGTGGATTGGTAGCTGAAGTAAGACGCTATGGGCGTGGAGGATCTAAGCGAGTGACTCAAGCACAATTTGCAACCTATTATCTCTTCAAACGATCGGGCAGTTTCAATACCGCACTCTTTTGTGGACGACTCTTTCAAGAACTATTGGTGGATCAGTGGGCCCAGACCGAATCAAACCGTCTGCGATGGATCCGAGAGAATCAAACCACTCTCCGAGCTGAATCTTACAAGGGATTGGTGGATGCAGTTGATGCTGGGATTCCTTTGGTTGATGTAGGCAAAAAGGTGGTGCTCCCCTCAACATTTGCCGGTTCGCCGCGTCAGATGCACGCCCTGTACCAGGACGCCATGGCTATTGTCTCACACGTGACAAAGCCTGACCTATTTGTAACGATCACATGCAATCCCACCTGGACGGAGATTACTCAAGAGTTGGAACCAGGACAGACTGCTCAAGACCGCCCTGACTTGGTCTCAAGAGTCTTTGCACTCAAGCTTGACGCCATGCTGCACGAGTTTTTTAAGTTGGGAGTATTGGGAAAGGTACGTCAATAGTATCTGCTAAAGGTGAAACTGCTGATGAGAAGGTGGTTGCAAGGATTTGGGTTATTGAGTTTCAGAAACGGGGGCTTCCACACTGTCATCTGCTCATGTGCCTTGCCCCAGATGACAAACCACGCACACCGGCTGATGTTGACAAGATTGTATGTGCTGAACTCCCCTGTGAGGAGACTCAGCCTGTGCTTTTTAGGGTTGTTGCATCCTGTATGCTGCATACATGCAGTGATCGATGCCAAGCCCAGATGCGTCGTGATGGCCGATGTTCAAAGAAGTTCCCCTGGGCTTTTCAACCGGAGACAACAATGGAGCAAGATGGTTACCCTGTTTACCGAAGACGAGACAATGGGCGGTCATGGACCAAGAACCGCATTACATATACCAATCAGCATGTGGTTCCTTACAATCCGTATTTATCAGCTCGATTCAATGCACACATCGATGTAGAGGTTTGCACTTCAATCAGTGCAGTGGAGTATATGTTCAAATATGTTTACAAGGGACATGATCGAGCAAACGTGGCGGTGGTTCCCAATCAAGTGGATCTTGATGAGATCAACCGTTACATTGATGCACGCTGGGTTTCTGCGTCTGAAGGTGAGTCATAGTGCAATTTTACTGCTCAGCTAATGTTTTAACAGCTGTTTGGCGACTAAGTGGTAATCCCATGCATGGCCACTTCCCTCCGGTGGAACGACTTCAGCTCCATCTTCCAGACAAAGATCAAGTGCAATTTGTGCCTGAAGACGAACGTGCAAATCTACCAGAGGAACTTCAGCGCAACAGCCGGTTATTGGGGTACTTCAAAGCATGCGAGACCTATCCAGAGTTACTCCGTGACAAGATATATGCCAATGTACCCGAGTTACTCTGTTGGCACGCCAAGGAACGTGTTTGGAAGCCTCGGAAACGTGGAACAGCTATTGGGAGAGTGTATTTTGCCGGTCCTCAGTCTGGGGAGCTCTATTATCTGCGACTTCTGCTCTATCATGTTCCCTGCCCAACATCTTTTGAAAGTCTCCGTACCGTTGATCATACTCTGCATCCGACCTTTCGAGCCGCCTGTGTTGCCCTTGGCCTACTTGATGACGACCGTGATCTTGATGAATGCCTTACCCAAGCTGCAACATATGCCTCTGGATCTCAGCTACGTCGACTATTTGTGATCATTTTGGTAGAAAATCAACCCTCCAGCCCGGCGGACCTGTGGGAGACACACTCAATGGCGTTGAGTGATGATTGTGTTCACATGCTTCGGCAGAAGGGATGGATGGAGAACCCAAGTGTGGAGGAGCGGCTCTCCTACGCGTTACATCTCCTGGGGGGTTTGCTTGAAGAGAGGGGGATGAGTCTGGCTGGGTGTTATCTACCTGAACCAACAGTTGTCTTTCCGGAAGACAATGATAGTCGCATTATCAATGAAGAACTGGCTTACAACAGGGGTGAATTGCAACAAACCAGCACTGTCAACATGGCCATTGCCAATCCGGAACAGCAAACAGTTATCAACGACATAGTTCAGGCAACCAGGGCTCGGACATCTGCGTGCTTTTTCCGTGATGGTCCAGGTGGCTGTGGCAAGACTTTTGTGGAGAATACAGTAGCAGTGGTCTTGCGAGGGGAAGGTGACATTGTCTTGATGGTTGGATCTTCAGGTATATGTGCAATCCTTCTAAAGGGTGGCCGTACAGGTGAGCCGTGGTGATTTCCTTGAGTGCAGAGTTGACACACAGCCCATTCCCGGTTCAAAATTCCAATCGACATTCATGGCGACTCCCAGTGCAGCATCTCAAAACAGAGTGAACTTGCAAAGCTATTCTTGCGTACCAGGCTGATCATTTGGGATGAGGCGCCATGCAGCATCGACACTGTGCAGAGGCAGTAGAACGCATGCTTCGGGATGTGCGGGGTTCTGAAGAGCCATTTGGAGGGGTGGTAGTGGTATTTGCAGGAGACTTTCGACAGTGTTTGCCGGTGGTGCCAAAAGGGAGTCAAGCACAGATCAAGAGCGCATGTTTGACCAGCTCACGTCTGTGGCAGAAGGTAAAACGGCTCAAACTTACTATCAACATGCGGCTCCAGAGTGCAGAGATGTCTGATATTGAGAGGGAGGAAGCAAGTGGGTTTGCAGAGTGGCTTCTCAGGGTAGGGGATGGTTTGGTAGATGGGGAACAGTCGGACGCTTTGAGAATACCTCTGGAATTGCGGGTGGAGTCAACAAATGAGTTGCTGCAGCATGTCTATCCCAACCTGGCTCAGAGCTTTCCGACAACAGAAGCTGCTCTTCAGTACTTTGCAGACCGTGCAGTTCTTGCTCCAACCAACGCCGAAGTTGATGAATTGAACAAGACCCTCCTTGGCCAGCTTAGTGGGGAATCTCGGACGTATCTCAGTGCAGATTGGATCGTGGAGAATGACGGTGCTTCAAACCCGCGTGCTCGACCCTTGAATCAGCAACTCTGGCCTATTGAATATCTCAACTCAATCACAATTGGCGGATTCCCTCTTCACAAGACAATTGTAAAAGTTGGGGGAACAGTTCTTTTGCTTCGTAACTTGGATCCAGCTGCAGGTCTTTGCAACGGTACTCGGATCTATGTGACACGTCTTCTACCAAATGTTATCGAGGGGTGCATTCTTGGGGGCGACTTCCATTCAAATAAGTGTTTCATCCCGCGTATCAAACTCGACACTGCAAAATCCTCCAACCTACCTTTCACCTTGCGTCGTAGTCAATTTCCCATACGAGTCGGTCTCGCTCTCACAATCAACAAGGCACAAGGGCAATCTCTCGCAACAGTCGGCTTATGTCTCTCAAAGCCGGTATTTACCCATGGTCAGCTGTATGTTGGTCTCTCTCGCGCACGCTTCAAGAACGGTCTCAAGGTTTTGCTGGAAAATTCAGAGGAGGGGAGAAGAGGTGAGACGAAGAATATTGTGTATAAGGATGTGCTCTTGGCAGCCAGGGCTGCTTAATATGTAATGTGTATAGGTTTGCAGTTTAGATTAGACTTATAGTGTGTAGTGTATATAGTGTAAGTAGCCTCCCACATGTGGGGAACTGGGGCAGAGAGGGGTGAATTGTAGTGTCTGGGTGGGGGGGAACTGGGGCGTATGCTATGCATGAACTTAGAGAAATTTGATCTGCATGGTTCAACTAGGGAACTGGGGCATACACTAATTCATCTTAACCATCTGCAGTTGCTCCCGTGAATTTCACGGGTTGGAACACTAGTCTCTATCTATCTTTCACTACTGACAATAATCAAGGATCACTGAAGAACTTCAGCGATCTTCTCAGCTAAGATTATTTACTCCTCCTAGATCTTCACCCAACCCTCTCGCACTCAGACGTACTTCAACACACTTCGACCAACTTCCCCGAGCCCTTGGCCGTCCTTCTCCTCCCTTCGACGAACTCCGCCTAACATCGCCGCACTTCTGCTCCCATTGTCCCTACTCAGCCTAACTCCGTCTAACTTCGCCGTACTTCAGCTTCCTTTGTCCCTACTTAGCCTAACTCCGTCTAACTTCGCCGTACTTTGCTGTCCTTATGCCCCAGGCCCCCGTATACCTTATTCTCCCGTTGTACTTTGCCGTAGTTGGTCTCAGATGTCCTGAGTTACGTGTAGAGTGAAGAGGTTAAGACGTGGTAGGGGTTTTGATGGTCAAAGGAGGGTCATTGCTGGTGGAATAATTGAGGTGTCACGACGTAGTTCGTGACACTCTGGTGCTAAGTGGTGGATTGTGTCTCCTCTGCAATCAATGTAGCCAAAGAATGATATTGAAGAATCAGCAAAGTTGGTACTTTGCTGATTGTACTACATACCGTCTACAGGTATCCGTGTCTTACTCCTGTCCTACTGCAAGCGTCTATGTACATACTTGTACAGGTGTAAAACCGCTTTTGAGCAAACCCAGTGGGATATCTCAAAAAAGGGAAAACCCGTCCCTACCTACTGCAGCACTGCCTCCAACTCCCGCCGTTCTCTTTCCTAATCCGTCAAGTTTGATGGAGTTCTCTCGATTCGTTGTTACCCCGTAACATGCGGCTAACTTTGCCGTGGTGCATTGAACTGCTGAGTGGTAGCTCTCCTTAACTCGAAGGTGGTAGCTACTGGATATATCACTCGCTACTGACAACAATCAAGGATCACTGAAGAAGTTCAATGATCTGTAAACTATCTATACTTCTCCTCTCTTCTCATAGAACGTCCCTCAACTCCTGCACAGCCTCGCGCTCAGTCCTCTTCGCTCAACTTCGCTGTACCTTGCCATATCCCCGATATCCTACTCCGCTCACTTCAACTAACTTTCCCTAACTTCCCCTACTCTGCTCTCCCTCAGTTTCCATCTCCTAACTTCGCCGTAGTTCTCCGTTAGGCGGGGTCATCGTGACAAATAATCCCTCGGTTCTCATAACTTTGTCGTAGTTGGTCTCAGTGGTTCGGGGTGGTGATGGATAGTGGTTCGGTGTTGGTGAAAGGAGGGTCGGTGATGGTAGTTGTCAGGGATGTTACGACATGGTTCGTGACATCTTCAGTCAACTTTGCCGTACCTCGCCATATCCCTGATGTCCTAACTTCGCCGCACTCCGTCTCACTTCCTTCACCCTACTCTGTATCCCTCTGTATCCTTCTCCTAACTTCACCGTAGTTCCCCGCCAGGCGGGGTTGTCGTGACTAATAACCCCTAGGTTCTTGTAACTTCAATGTAGTTGGTCTCAGTGGTTTGGGGTGTGGTGGTTGATGGCGGATAGTGGTTTGGTGATGGTGAAAGGAGGGTCCGTGATGGTGGTTGTCAGGGATGTTACGACATGGTCCGTGACACCTAACTCCGTCTAACTTTGCCGCACTTCTGCTCCCATTGTCCCTAGTCCACCTAACTCCGCCTAACTTCGCCGCACTTCGCCGTCCCTATGCTCCAGGATCCCGTACACCTTATTCTCCCGCTGTACTTTGCCGTAGTTAGTCTCAGATGTCCTGAGTTACATGTAGAGTGAAGAGGTTGAGGTGTGATAGGGGTTTGATGGTCAAAGGAGGGTCGTTGTCGGTGGGATATTTGGGGTGTCACGACGTAGTTCTTGACAAGGATCAACCGGTCAACCAGTTGTCAGGACAGCCTTGTGAAAACACGTCTTTGAATATGGAAAACACACTACTGATCAATTCACACCCCCTACTGATTGAGAAGTGTACGCCACTGATGAAGAGTACACACTAGTGATGGGCAGTACTGTCACGACCCTGCAACCTCAGTCGTGACATCAGGTTATAACCGGATCGCAATCATAGGGCTGATTGCGATATTGTGCCTTTTAGCGCAGTGGCATAAGATGTCACATGCATGGCCAGTGTATGGCCTGGTGCTGGTTAGCCAGGTCGTAACAGAATATCGCAATCAAACAGTAGCAGGTTCGATCCCCACCCAGAGCACATCATATTTGCTCTGCCACATTGGTGGGATGTGGCAGTGGCGGGTGAGGTCCGCCGCCAAAAGTCTCTCCCTCTGAGAATCGAACCCAAAGCGCTGTCAAACCATAATAGGTTTGGGTACTAAACCTGAAGGCCTCAAGGGACTTCGGCCCTTAAAGGAGGGGCTCCTGTCACGACCCTGCAACCTCAGTCGTGACATCAGGTTATAACCGGATCGCAATCATAGGGCTGATTGCGATATTGTGCCTTTTAGCGCAGTGGCATAAGATGTCACATGCATGGCCAGTGTATGGCCTGGTGCTGGTTAGCCAGGTCGTAACAAGTACGCACTTATGGTGAGAGGTCTTATCTCTTTCAGCAGTGCGGACGACTCAACTGAAGAACCAGAAGGAAATCCACTCTGCTAAGCATATTTAGCCTATATTCGAACCTCTTGAACCTCTACCGAACCCGCAGGACTGAACCAGGTATTTTTGGGTCAAAATCTGCATAATGTGGGCGCCTAAAAAACATCCTCTGAACCCCCTGAAACATCAGAGCACTTCTAGACTGCATGGGAAAGTTTCAGGTATTAAAAGATCACATCTCATGGATGCTTTATCTGTGTTTCTTTTCATGAAATCAACCTTTGATGAAGAGAACTCTTTTGGGGGCTTCCAGGATGATTCAGAGCCTTCTGTAAGGTTGTTTAAAATGCTGTTTTTGATACAGGGTTCCCCCCCAGGAAGTAGGAGAGGAGATGAAGGAGTTTGAGGCTCATTTTGGGGTGTTTTGTCTATAAATAGTGGTTCCAGCTCTCTGTTTCTTTCTCTGTCTCTCTGATCGGTTGACATCTTTGATTCTGGCTCTCTACTTTAACTTACTGTTGCCTTTGAGACTGATTGAGACACACCATTGCGGCTTCATCGTCATCAGTCATATATTCATGACAGAAGTCTACACTTTTATTAGGCAAAATGAAATTCATGCCTAAGTATGATGTCACTGAGATCTACGATGAACAATTCCAAACCATGATGTCACCATGACATCATCTACTAAGCCTCTCTTCTAATCCATGACAGAGTTCCTCTCTGACTGGATCACCAATGTTCAGGTCTTTCAAGATCTAACATATTTTTCAACGTTTGCTGAGTTTCTTCCTGATCTCCCTCTTCCCTGACAAATCCCTGAGCAGTTGCTTCAGGTTTAAGAATGTGCGACATTGCCTCTATGAATTCTTTGATGTCAGGAAAGGAATCACCTATTGCTAGTGCAAGAGCACTCTTCTTGTAAACTTCCACATCTCGCTCTTGACGTTGGGTATTTTGTGGAGTCTCAACTGCATCAGTAATCTTGGACCCTCCCTCTTTGACTAGTGAGGAGCCAATGTTTGAGCAGTTTGCAGGGATTGCAGATTCAAAAAGGCGCCTAGCCAGCGCAGTGGCAACAACACTGTTTGCTACAATGTTAGCTGATAGCAAAGACGTGTAGATATGTCTTCAACAACAGGTGTAGAAGAATACCTGAGAAATCACTAGGACTCACAGATAGTAGGATCCCAATCTGACAAACAGAACAGACTTTTGTTCTCGGCCTTTGAGTGTGTATGCATTGATCTTGGTTGGAAAGGCAGAGTAGAATCAACTCTTCCATCTACCATGTCCCCACACAAACTTTCATAGAGACAGCTGTAAACTTCCTGAGGTCTCATTACAGATCCATTTTCCAACTTTGACTGGATCCTTTTGTACGCCTCACAAAACTTGGGCTTCATGAGCCCCTTGACTATCACATTTGGATCAGGCAGGGAGAAGTTGAATCTCTTATCACTGCCTTCTATACTTCCATAGATGACAGTGTCAAAGTCTAGCCCGTAACCAGTCTGGTCATTTGGCATCCATGTCTCCTTCAAGGGATTGGAATGGGCCTTTCCACTGCATAATACTCGGGTAGCTTCGCTTGCACATATCGAGTGAGCTAGAATATCAACTTGATTCTCAATCTCATGCGAGTAACATGGTGACAGCCGGTTTAGCAATGTCAATTATACAAGTACTGGCAATATCCTGTACTTTTCATCCAAAGTGAGTGGGACCATGTAAGGAGAAAGAACTCCAAAGGCAAGAATGAACTTGGACCGTGATAAACTCACATATATCATCTCCTGGGTTAGATGCAAACATCTTGATTTGGAATTCCTCTCCCCAAGGACCAGACATAGAAAGACTATATGGGTAACATTTCTGTTTGTCTTCTGGTGATATTTCCAGATGTTGAAGGGTGTAGCCCCTGGGAGGAACATGTGAATATGTTAATTTTGTCAAATGAAACACCTCACTCTTATCCATTGCTTCATTTATGTATGTGAGTGCTCCATCAATAAGATCTTCATCCAGGAGGCGGGACGGGTCCCTAAACCAATTGTCATGACAGGCGTCGAACTCCTCCAACCTGCGTTCCAACTCATTGTCCCATTTGGCACTCCCTGGCCCGTTCCAGTGCAACCAGGATGTGAACCTGTCCTTGAAGCTTCCCAGTCCGTTGTCCATAATCTGCCTGGATGGTCCAGGAATTTGGTTCTCCTCATACAGGCTGGCAGCCATATCTGAGCGTGGACTTCCCGCAACTGACAGGGGACCACCAAGGGTAAACATATGATCTGACCAGGCATCATTTAGGTCAAAGCACAAGGGGAAAAAACGGGTGTTCAGGTCCTCAAAATCATCTCCGGTCTCGGAGGGATTACCAGGAATCCAGGCAGCTGCCATGCGAGGTGATGTGTTCATTTGGTCGGCCAATTGGACTGGACCTTCAACAACATTTTCAGTTTGGGACCGGGCACCATCATCAGAATGCATGGGGGGGAGTGGTTCGCTCACTTGGGTGGCTGGTTGGATCGCCGGATGATCCCCGCTGAACGAATCGTCGAGAGCTTTAAGCTGCTCAGGAGAGACACTGTGGTCGAATGAACCGTCCATTGGGTTGGCGAGTTGGGCGATTGAGTAGTTAGGACGATATCTGGTTTCGGGCGAATCAATACGAACGATAAGTTGTCGTTTGGTGGCGATAAATCTGTCGAGGGGAAATGAGAAGTTGAAACTGGTCTAGTAAGCTAACATGTTTCCTCTTAATACCTAGAGATGTGAGAAGATTTTTCATGTAGAAGGCGCAGAGGAGAGAAGGGAGGAGTTGGGAAGGGAAGGGGAGGAGTGGTGAAGAGGACAATGGATCGGGGCGATTGCTGTGTTATTATTCTACGTCATTGCTGAGTTATGTAAGCGAGTTTCCTCTTGAGGTATAGAAATATGGGAAGATTTTCACGTTCAAGGCGCGGAAGAAACAAGGGAGGGGTTGGGAAGGGAAGGGGAGGACAGGTAAGGAGGATAATGGACCGAGGTGAATGCTGTATCACTTTACGTTATATAAGACTCCCTGTGAAATTAGCATGTATTCAGTCCATTCAACTAGTAGCGGAGATCATGGTTGAGTTAGGAAGAAGGGTATGTGATGAAACGGGTCGAGGTTCAACGACTCCAAATTGTTATACTCGAGCGGGATGATACGATAGGTGTTAATGTCATAAGTACATATCTAATGACGTAGTGATCTATTCGAGTCAACATATTATCTGCTTCTACCACTAGTATGATTTCTTGGGCAGTAGTTTTCTATCGTTGAAATGAACAACTCACAAATACACGTAACACCTTACATTGATAGCATACGCTACACCCATACGAGTACACAACACAATGACAATCATACAATTCCCTGACTCCGTCTAGTATCTAGCAATAACATCGCTCCATTGCCCTTCCATTGCATTCCGCATTCGACGAGATGAAGTTGACGAATTCCTTATTCCGAATCACGAATAAAACCTTCTGACACTCGTCCCTCCCCATCTCACCCTCTTCTCATCTTCTCTAGTACTATAAGGCGAATAACCTCCTCGACCACCTGGATCCACGACGCCCGGTTGAGTTTTCTTCCATCTGTTCGAACCTTGCATAGGTTCGTTATAAACGGGTAGGTTGTAGTAGTATGGTGGATAAGAAGGGTTTAACATTGTTTGACGTGGAGCGTAAGGGTTATGATTAGGAGGAGGGTAATAAGGATCGGATATACAGAAGAGACATGACCACCAATCTGAGTTATCAGTTTGACTTTATATTGAATGTATCCTTGTCTTTTCATCATCTCCCACTGTATAACTTCCCGTTTTCTTCCAAGAACTTCTCTCCCTTGTTTGAGATCCCGGATTCATATCATGTCACACTGCGCTGTCTGACATCCTCGAGGGAAGTTAAACGTCTCCAGTTCCCAGAGGATCCAGGGGAGGGAAGTGGTTGTGAGATGGCGGATAGACAGAGAGGTATCATGAGAGACGGATAGAGGAATGGGGTTAGCGGGTGGCGACTAAGAGGAGAGGGGGCGACGAAGATCTTTCCTCTCCGTCGTCATATCACACACCACCGCCCGGGGAAAGTTTGAACACATGAGCAAAAAGACTCACTGCTACTCCTTCGTCTTGGCGTATACGTCGTAGTGTAATAAGGCATAGCCTTTTTCGTATCCTTGATCTATGACATCAGTACAGTAATCCCATGTGACAATGGCCATCATCATTTTCATCATTCGGTACCTTCTATCCAGCTTTGAGATTAGTCCCTCCGTGCCTTCTGTTCAACTCTCGAAGTGGGTGGCAAAAAAAACATGGATCTCACGTTGTTGGATAAAGTGACACAACTCCACTCGACGTCAAAGAAATGATCACTCACCTGACTTGTAAAACCTATATTTCCTATATCCTGCGACTCGTATCCCGCAATGTGTAAAATGTAAAGTATGGATATGTGGTTATAGTGAAAAGATGGAGTGTTAGAATATTGAACGACCTGTAGAGAGAGTGATATATGTTATATGATGAGAGAAAACGGAGAAAAGGATGAAAGGATCATCTCTTTACAGCGCTCCATGGTCAATTGACGTCGTCAACCCTTCCTCTCATACCCCTTCCCGTTCGTCATCAGTCAAAGTCAGTACTGTTTCGATTGAGCCATTGCACGGAATAACGGGATTCGGTGTTGCAAATCCACCGAAGATCAAATATCTCATGGGAAATAAATCGCTTCACGGGGTCAAGGTCCAATGGGTCAAGGTCCAATGGGAGAGAAAGAGAGAGGGAGGAGGGATAAGAATGGCCGATACCATCGGACTTTGGTCACCTACCAAGTTTAACAAATGAACATAAATGCCTCTTTTTTTCCCTCGGAGTTCATCGTTGTAAGCCCCGAAAGGCAGTACAAGTTCCTTGCCGCCACCTTTGACATACACTCCGTAGAACGGTGAACCTCCGTTTGATTGAGCTTGGGATTCTCGTCGTACGCCAATCAGCCAATGGGAGGGGGGTGAGGGGTTTAAAGGGGGTAGGGGAGTGACCGTGGGAAGGTGAGATAGATTCCCAGGATCGAAGTGTTGAGTACTGAACCGGGTACGGATGTTAACCCTGTATCGTGGTGTCATTGGGAGGCGGCTGAGGAATGATCTGAAGGGTCAAGGGTGAACGAGTTAGTTTAGTGATTGTGAGAATTGTGAATGAGTAGTGCACTGCATTGATAAGCTGTGGCCTATTGGTGTCCTGTACTAGCCAGGAGGCGAAGTGTGAACGGTCAAAGTTACCGTGATCTGCCCGTTTTGAAGTAGGAGGGAGAGTGGGGGGACGGAAGGGAGTAGTGGAACTCACTGGTCAGTCTCATGACTTCGATGAGGGGAAGTACTTCTACGCTGTTAGGCAGTGACTCGACTTGCTCTAGACACAACGTTGAGATTAGCATGGAGACTGGTGTAGAGTCGGTATACTTGCGTGTATGGGTAGAGGTGGATGGATGATGGGTGATGGATGGCGAATATGACGCGCTAGACATAGTGTAGAATCGTGACTATCAACGACCACCAGCTAACACACTACTCTTCACCATTTACACCTCACCACCAACCCTCCTATCATAACACAAGGTCAACTACCATACAAGAGCCAATTTGTTACACTCCAATCCATGCATTGCATCCTCATATACCACCACTACCAGCGACATACACCCGGCCGCGGTTGAATTTTTCATTTTCCCAACCGACGCGACTCGCTTTCAGGCACGGAACGGGCAGCCATCCTCTTTCCCCCACTTTTCCCTATTCTAACCACTATACTTACAATACCCTCGCGTCCATCTCTCTATACTACTACTCTACCTACTCTGCTCACCATCTCTTTCACCCCTTGCATGATCCAAAACACGCCAAGTAGCGTAGCATAGCATTTATCATATCCACCACCACCAAAACCGCGACCTCCACTTGACCCAGTCAACCACCCTAATCCCTACCCAATCCCTCATGTCCTATCACGTCCCCTTGACATCTCATGACAACTTCAAACATCACCTCCACCCCTCTTCCCCTCTAGACACTCCATCTGCCAAATGTCTAGTGGTGTCTTCACCCAATGATAGGAGCCTGATACCACTGGGCCCTTCCAAACTCATCGGTCAGTTACTCCCCCCCCCCCCCTCTCGATGCAGATGTACTAGGTCTACTGGACATTAGCTGACGACCAGCCGGTGTTAATCACAAAAAAGCAGTCTTTTTCTCCCCTCGTAACGATACAAAAACCTTCAACGCCAACGACATCATCTATCAACCCTCCAACCCGCCTTCTATTCGATCTTATCGGGAGCAAATACCTTCCGATTCTCCTTCCTCTTCTTCTTCCCCTTCTTCTCCTTTACCTACCGAACCGAAAAGTATACTCAAATCACGTTGTTCAGAAATACGAGTCGCATCTTCCGTAGAAGAAGGTACTTTGAATAACAAAGAAGCTGCAAGACTTGTGGTATGTGGTAAAAGACCTAAAATGTTGACCCGAGATTCTTTCCAATTAGCAATGATCCGAAAAGCAGCGGCGGATTCCCCTCGATCCACATCCAACTTACAAAAGGGATCAAAGACAGATGGTGATTCTACCAACCCATCCGAAGAAATACCAGGATCGGATGATAGTGTAATGTCTGATGGGGATGACACCAAAAGTGTGGAAAAGGAAAATGATAGTTCAGAAGAAGAAGAACCAATAGAAGAAGATGGAGCTTTAGCAACTTCTTCCCTTGTCGAAATCATACTTGATGGAGCTGAAGATCTTCTTACTTTGGAAGAAGCTTATACTACTCTTACTATGAGATTACGACAAAGAATGGTTAAACCTTCCACTCCAATTTCTTCAAAGAAATCACAGAATAGTCCTGATTCAAGACAAATACAAATACAAGATTTTGATATAGATTCAGATGCTCTTCGTTTCATTCGACCTATACGAGATGAAGTACCAGCAATGGTTCGAGCTCTTCAAAGAGATTTACAAAGACTTTTAGGAAAAGTACCTAATGGAGATACACATTCAAATGATGGTAGTTCATCACCATTCAGATCTATAAATCCACTTTTACCAATTCGTACTTCAACTCCTAATCGGATGCAACCAACACCTTCACCGACCCCTAAAACCCGTCAAGGATTCTCAGAAGCAGAAGTTCGATATCGTCGTGAAGCTTCGGGTGTTGGATCGGCAGCTCTCCGACTTTTGGCTCTTATATTCAATACAAATGAATTATACAGTTGTTTCTCCGAAGTGGATTTACAAGCATTATTAGAACACGTCTTGATTATCCCCCGTACTCCGAAAATGCCAACTCCTAATCCAAAACGGACTTATTACCTCGCTATCGTCGTTTTGGCTCAAATGCGAATCCCACAATCTTCAGTTCAACCCACCAAAGATAAAGTGGTCAGAGCTGTCGAAGCTGCTCTTGAAGAATCGTTCAGTTTGACAAATGGAGTGGGAGAAAAAGGTATCAGTCTAGCTAAGAAAGAATCTTTCTCAGCTGTAGTAAATCTCATCAGTAATTATCCTTCCATCTTCTATCAACATTATTCTGAATTACTCCCCGTTTGTATTCACGAATTATCATCCACGAACATATTGATCAGAAATAAAGCTGCTTCGGTCATTTCAGCTTTTGCCGCCGCTAAACTCAATCTTCTCAGTGGAGCTCGGACCAAAGTCGTTACACAGCAAGATGATCCTTCCAAAGATTCGTTCTTGAAACTCAGAGCGATGATACAGAAATCGGAATTCTTCGTGGTGGCACAATTGAAAACTGCCAGAAAGGATCCGAGTAGACCGGGGGTGTTATATTCTCATTCGGGGGAAAGAAGGACGGAATGGTCAGCATTGGAACAAATGTTGAAAGATACGGTTAGTAATAATCATCAAGCTGGATGGGCTTGTTCGACTTGGGCAGGTTTGGTGACTTTGATGGGTGGAGCTTATAATTCTTCTGGTTTGGCGAGGGATTTCGATCATATCATTGATGTGGGTCTCTTCTGATATCTTCTTGCATTCATTCGCACTCTGCACTCTTCCTCACTTCTTCCGTTTTTCCTATCTACCCTTTCAACCCTCTCTTGGAAACTGTGATTTTAACCCCTCCAGCCTTCCTCCTTTCGAATTTCATCTTCGATTCTGCTCATTCAGCTGGACTTTGCAACGTCCAATCTCCTACTCCTTCCGTACATTCACGTAGAAATTATCCCCCCCGCTAACACTGTAGCGCTCTCTTCAAGCTTCAACCAACACCGTCCGTCCCATACTAGCTCGATCAGCTTGGAACCATGCCATCCACTCTTATCTCTCTTCCGGCTCATTCACCTCCATCTCGGATACATACGATCTCATTCAATCATACAAACCATTCTCCGCTTCAGGTCAACAAGATCCGTCCCAACGGTTATACACGATAATGTTACCTTTCCGACTCTCTATTCAATTAGCCTCCGTCCCAGCTCAGACGACCTTCATCGAAGTCCCCAATCCTGAGGGAGGAAGCACCGCAAGAGGTCAGTGGCGTCGATCTGAGAAATCCAAGAAACAACAATGGATGATCGTTTGTGGTAAAGCTGCCATCGCGTTGGTGTACGCATTCTCCGGTATCTGTCTGACACATCAAGATCAACCCGCTAAAGAATCTCTCTCCATGTCGGGCATTCCTTCATCGGACGGTGTGATACCAGAGAATGACGCGGAAGAAACTAGATTAGAATTACAAGATAAAGTATGGGAGAAAGTCGTGAAATTAGTCATTGGAAATTTGGCAGGTTTACAAGGTTTGGATGAGCTCAAGTTACAGAGTTGGGGAATTTTGAGAGCTATAACTTCTGTGCCGATAGAGAATACGACTTCTATTGAATTGGAACGGGATACGACAGATGACAACATTTTCCACGGTCCGAAAAGGGACACGATGCAGATGCAAGGTAACATTTCTTCTCAACGGTCGAAATGGGATTTAGACAGGATTTTAACGAACAAATATATCTGTGGGGAGTTTTATTATCCGGAGAAAGATAAAGATATGACGTCTCCTTTAGTCCTGGCGGAATTGGAAAGAGAAGGAGTTAGAGTAGAGGAGATTCCTCCTTGGGGAGCTAAATGGGTAACGAGTAGATTAGAAGAGGTGTTGGGAGTGTTTCAAGATTGTCTAAGTGGGATTAAAGGATTAAACAATTACAACATTGTTCAAATTACCGATATTCAAAAACATGGAACTCCCCTTCACCCTGTCAACTCAAACATTCCCATCAACTCGAACAATCCGAATACTCCCACCATGTCCCATACTCCCAAAACTACCAACCCCGATTACATAATTTTATCAGAGAACATCCCATTTCCTCTAGATCTCTCCATCACATGGAAAAATATCCTCTTATCCCTCAGATCGACCAGAAACGAATCAGAAGCACAATTCAACAAAGGTCTTACAATCCTTCTCCGTCATTTAGTACAAATCTTCAATTATCCACCTGATCAATATCTTCCCATATGGTATCAAGGACAAGAAGGTAGTCTACTCAACCTCAATTCTGTTCGAATTGGATTAATCTCACATTTAGTCCATATGATGATTCAAGTTTTAGGGAAAGAAGTATTTTGTCTACCTTTGATTCTTCCCAACGCCGACCTGAATCCCGTTGCAACCGCTGAACAATCATCATCAACTCAATTAGACTTGGTCATCTCCAAATTAGCTTTCGGACACAATACATCCAATCAAGCGACTTTAGCCGGTAGTTTACTAGGTCAAATATTACGTATCAAACTTACTGGCGAAATAACTTTCATCACCAGGAAAACTCTACGAGAGTTATCACAAACTTTACTTGATATTGCTTGTCTAGCACCGAATCAGGGGAAGTTATTGGGTGATTTGACCAATTGTATCCCGTTCATTTTCCAAGATCAGGAATTACAATTGGATGTATGGAGGATGTTGGTTATGAAATGGGTGGAAGTAGTGGATTTAAATCCTTCTACCACGATTGGGGGAACGAATTATACGGGTGGATTATTGTTTTCTCTTTTGAGTTTACCTTTTAAACCACAGGGAAGTGCGGAATGGTTTCGGGGAGTCGACTCGAATACAAGGAAGACTGCACGCGAAAATGATAATGGACCCATAAACCAAATCCCTCACGATCAGACCAAGGAAGTTGAGATAGGACAAGTCAATGAAAATATCCACGAAAATTCCACCGAAAAGCTAAATGCAAAGGAGAATGACAAACAACAAGAATGTGAAATCTTGAACGACTTACAAATATGGTCAAATTTACTCCGGACTACCATCCTTCGATTCCGTGCGAAAAGAGTAGGAACCAACATGGGCGTATTGGAAAGTCTGGCAGGACATTTGAACGATTATTTGACAAAAGATACTATCATCATGCCAATGACGATAAAATGTTTGACGGAAGCTATCCGATGGGTGGATTCAGGTTTGAGAGAAGAGAATTTGGTGGGACAGATCAATGAGATGGTTGTACCGGAAGAGTTGTTGACGTTGGTGGTTAAGACTTTGAGGTTGGTTTATGCTTCTCAGGTAGGATCAGATTTGGGAGTTCGGGAGAGGAATGTGAGGTCTGAGAATGTAGGTGATGAGGACGAGGTAGCATTAGAAAGCGGCGCTACTTCGGAGCAAAATGCGGATAGACAATCGAGGGATAATTCAGCACCACAAGATGGGGAATCAAATATTCGAAAAGACACACAAGATGAACAAAAGTTGATCACTTCAGCAGCGTCGGAATTACTGTCAGCTGTAGGAGAGATGATCATCGCCGTACCTTCCACAGCTATTTATGAGGTGTTGAGACTTATGAAAGAGTCATTATCGATTTGGTTGGCAGATGATAGTGTGATGGTGGTTGAAGAGGATGCGGTCAAGGTATGTTCTTTCCTCCTTGTCTACAACTATAACACCCACCCCCTCTTCCTGATGCTTTCCTGGCCCCCGATGCCGAGTTTCGGAACTGCACCCTTCCTCCCTCCTCCCCCCGGCCCTCCCGAATTTCTTCTCCACTCATGCATATACCTCAGACCATGCTCCCCTAACTCCTCTTTATACTTGGAGCTCCCCTGTCTTGACACAAGTGTCTTTCCACTATCACAGGTCATAGCCCTCAATCTGATACCTTGCTCGCTTCCCACTTGTTCGTCTCCACCACCACCTCTGGCTTCTACTGAATGCCTCCTCATCATTTCTCTTTCAGCCACAGTGCACCAATCGTTCATTTCACTAACAAACAGCTCGACAACCTATACATCTCCATCCTCTCTTCCCTCTTACCTGCATTCGAATCCGGTCACATATCATTAGATTCCACCATCGTTAACGCTCTCATCGACATTTACGCCCCTCGGCTCTCCCTAGCTCAGTCCGCAGAAGTTCCAAAGACTTTCCAGAAGTTTTGGAACATGACTTTTGGTAAAGTTGAAAATCTAGAGTATTCGCCGGACGTGAAGGAATTCTTGAGAGATTTGAGTTGTGCCATACCGGGTATGATTCAAGTTCAGGGGTTAGACTTGAAGGGGGTCATGTCGGAGGTGAGCTTGGTTTCTTCTGCTTTATTCTCAACTACACTTAACACGTCTACTTGCAAGGCCGCCTCCGCATTTGTTGTCCCTCTCTGCTCGAATGCTCTTTTTTGGCCCCATACTGTCCAGTTCTGTTTACAAGCTGTCGAGAATTGTCCACACACTATCTTTTCAACGAATATGGACCGGTTCTTGAGTATCTGCTACGTACTTGTCACGTACGTGGACGGTTAGGCGGTGCTGACACTCAGGAGGAAAGCCTTTCCAAATACCCTCACTCTCAGTCCCTCCGAACCACGACAATCATCCAAGTGGACAATGTGGAACGACCACTTGTTCCCATCACGACAGAGGATGTTGTTACGCCCAACGAGGTGTTGCCTGAACTTGATCAATCATACGATGCCGATGTTTCTCAAACCCCATCGAACTCCCAACCCGTCAAGTCTGCTCCAGTCCAAGTGAACGAACCCTCATCCCATCATCATGTTCTAGATCCCGAGGCTGCTCTCTCATCCGAAGTTCACGTGTCAGAAGCAGACATAACGACTTCGAACGTGCCTACCCCACAATCAGATCCTGGAATATCAGGAGAGCATGAAATACCCCCAGCTCAACCAGATGTTTCTGTCATTGACCACTCTCAAACCCACCCACTGATCCATCCATCTGTCACCTCATCCTCAGACACACCCGACCTTGTGGAAGAAGCAACAAAGACAAATAAAGCCGAAAGCCATACGGACGAAACGGTCATTTCAGAAACTACCAACTCTCAACTCAACCACATCCCAACTTCTTCTGAGGGAGACGTCTTCGGTCCTACCAAAATTCCCAAAATTCGTGATAGACGCGACAAGAGAAGATCAAAACGATCTCATATTCCATCTTCTCATCGGGGACTCAGTCGACATGAATCTCTTCCTTCGTTCAGTGGGACATCTCAAGAAGCAGACTCGGACGATGAAATAGTTTCCATGATCGATCCGGATGTATCTCCAGTCAAGAAACAGAAGCCCAATCTTTCAATTTCCATCTCGGCACCGTTCCTGCCTACGTCGGACCAGGACCAAAATACCAAAGAAGGTCAAGAAAACCATGTGCAGCAGGAACAATATGGGAAGACTGGGGAGAATGTCTCGATCTTGGATCAAAGACAATCGTTTATATCCTCCGCTACTCGATGGCTCGGTCGTATACCTTCCCTAGGTGGATTATTCAGTCCGGCTTTGGAACAAGGACGTGATCCCATTTCTCGTTCTTCATATGACACTCCATCGCAAGATGTTGTTCAGTCCTCACATGGAAACGATGATGAAGAAAGTATCCCTTCTTCTCAAAATTCCGTATCGAGAAAAAGAAAACGTATACCTTTTGTTGAACTTCCTACTAGTAAACGTCAACGTAAAGATCGATCTGCATTATCGCGATCATCTTCTTCTACCAGTATTGGATCTTGTTCCCGTAGTAAGGTCTCTGGATCTGGGTCACGAAGCGGAACTTATTCTCCTCCCACCACTCAAAAATCTGGTTCTTTTACTACCAGTTCAAGGTCAAATTCATCCATCAAGCTCAAATCACGTTCTTCCTCTTCCATCCCTACCAAATCGCGTTCTTCCTCTTCCATAGACATCGACTCCCATTCTTCCACGAGCACCAAATCAGTGTCAAGAACAGATTCATCTTCGTTCTCCTCCAGAGGTTCAAGAGCCGGTTCGGTCAAAGATGAGCCTATCGTTGTTGATTCCGACGAGGAAGAAGATGAACTTTTACTTTCTCCTGAAAGTGCAGCTCGATTCCGTGAAGAAGCAGCGTTGGAGTTGGAATCAGAAAAGATCAATGGGGATAATGATCAACCTCCTTCTTCTCCTTCTCCACCACCAAGAGCTTTACCTTCTCGAGGACGAAACGTTTCCAGCAGACGATCTCTTTCTAACACCCAACCTCGTCTAGGACGTAATCGATCGTCACAGAGCATCAACGTCTCTCAGACATTTTTGGATCAAGAAGATTATCATTCCTCTTCCAAGTCGGACAATCATACTTCAGTCACGTCTTCCAAGAACCAAGATATGGGCAAAAGTACTTCCTCTACATCATCCAAACTTAAAGAAAGTGACAAAGATGTTTCTCCCTCATTATCCAAACATGAAGAAAAAGGAGAAACTCAATCAAGTGGTCGATTCGACGACGCACCTGAAACTATCCATCTCTCACCTCTTGCTCAACGTTTGGTTCAAGCTCGGACTGCTCTACCTGCAGATCATCCATATCTCACATCACCCATCAGAAGAACGGGAGAACAAACGAGAGTTTTGAGAATGGTAGAAGAAGCAGCTCAAGCCAAAGATGTTGTAGAAGGATTAGATTGGGATGGATTATTAGTCTTGATGGAAAATGTCGAATTGTTGAGAAGAGCAGCTACTAAGAATCTGAGGGAAAAGGTTAAAGAAACTGAGAGGTTGAAGAAAGGAAAGTAAGTGTGAATGATGCTTTATGCTATTTGTGAGAGTATGATATTTGTTGTAGAATCAGTTGGTAGAAATGAGGTGATGAGTACATATGCATAATACTGTCATTGCATATCGTACATGTATCACATTCATTGCGCATCTTCACTACACGTGTACACATCCTACAGACTTCTCTGTTTGACGATGTTCGGATTTCAAGGTGAGTACTGTAAGTACTTTTTTCACGATCAATCATTCACCAGATGTAGGTTTTCAAAAATCACAACCACAACTTCATCTTATTAGAAGACGGACATTTCGTGTTTACCCGTATGATCGCAGGCCATCGCCATGACCATGCCACGCACCATTCGTTTCACTATGTACCTCAAGTCAAGAGATATCAAAGTCATGTTCTGCTGAAGGTGATTTCCGAATAAGATTTCTATCGAGTGTACGTGTGGTAGGGTATTTACATATCTGGTGTATTCGTGCAAAGATTGCTTCGGACAGACGAAAAGATTGACTCTAGACAGATGATAATCAATTGCAAAGATCTCTGATATATTTTTGATAGAAATAAAATCCACATTGATGAAATCGGAGGGATTATTTCAACCAATGAAATAGATATCACATCCTACTCTCACTTCAACTCGATCGTCCCTGTCCCTACCACTTTACCTTTTCCCTCTTTCTTCTTCTTAGCAGCTAATAAACTCCTTATCAACTCTGCGTTCTTTTCCAATATACCTTTATAAACGCTTTTCTGTAATTGCATCATGGAGATAGGAACTATGATCTCGACTTTTGGTGGGAGTTTCAATACGTCGGCTTTTATACGACGAAGGATATAAGGTCTTATCATTTCGTGTAATTCTTGAACGAGGGATTCGTTAAGGTTCACAAACCTAGCTTCTAGTTCTTCTAATGCTCTGAAAATCAGTATCATTCTTACAATCAAAACGAGTATAACGGGTTCAAATACGACAGTGACTGATTCAACTCAGACGAGTTATTGATGATGACAGTAAGACGATGGAAGAGAAATGTACAAGTACAGATGGTTAGAAGAAAAGAAAACGACTCACTTGAATTCTAATGGGTCTAAAAAGTTTAACAAATTGAACAACTCTCGAAGATTGTTATTCAATGGAGTACCGGTTAACAAAACTCTATGAACGCTATTGAGAGTTTTCAATCTGTTGAAAATCAGGTTGGTGTCGGATTTCACTACCATTCAGCTTTTACTCATGTCTCTCATCTCGTTGCGGGTGTCAGCTCTCGAATGGAATGGAGAACAAGGATAAAGAATCATCCAGGGAAAAGGATGATGATATAACATTGTCACTCACACCTTTGACCTTCATCAACAACCAACATTTCCCATCGTGGTATACCGCTAAAGACCCGGAAACCAGCAGTAGTGATTTGGTCATAAGTCGTCAAAACGACGTGTCTAGACATCAGTACAAACTCCTTGTAAAGTCGTCGCGAAGGAGACTTACGCTTTCAAACCGGCCGCTTTGCCTTGTTGACCTTTATGATAGAGTTCATATTGTGCGATGACCTTGCGAGCTATGTGTCAGCGATGGGTCTTCTATGGGTCCGATTGGTCTACCTTGAGTGAAAATGTGGAGAGGAGAGTTTTTTGGCTGAAGTAAGGCTGAATAAGAAGAGAGCCAACTCACAAGCCGCTTCGCCGTAGTAAGGTACCACCCTCATATGCGGAACCCACTTTTCGAACTCTCTCACCCAGTTGGTGATGGTACTGATGGATCAGCCTTCTCTTAATAAGTCATCATCTTTCAATTCTCCCCACTGCTTGGCAGAGACCTTATTCTCTGCCCTTGGCTTGAAAAGAGACTTCCTCTACATGCAGTCTCTTCGAGTTCATGTCATAGAATCATTTTCATAATGAATGACCATGGGTCTTGTCCTGTGAATGGGAGCCACAGGTATAACACCCGCAACGAGGGCAACATGAGCAATGGAGAGAAGGAGGGAAACAAGAGACTCACGAATTAGGTACCACCACCAAACACGGATACACTTTATGTTCTGCTGTCCCCAGATAACCGAGTAATGAGGCAATCTGAATTCTACAACCATCAGCTCATGTCAGGCGAAAACCATTGGAGCTCACGTTTTTCCCAATCCCATATCATCGGCAAGGATACACGACTCGCGTTTGAAATGTTTGTAAAGCAACCATTGGAAACCTTCCATTTGAAAAGGCATCAAAGTCTGTCATCAGTGTCATGTTCAACGAGATGGGTGGGTATGTGTCCTCTTCTCATTGATTGAGGAATGGACAACGAGAAGGGTGTACAATAGAAAAGTTCAGGGATATCCAAGACACTACTGAACAGCCTGGTATATCCAGGAGGCAAGGCGGAAGCTCATTGATATGTGATATGACCAACGAGAGTGAATGAAGTAGTATGATAATAACGATGACTCACCCCTCCTACCACACAATCAGGTTGTCGATCCGGAGGTTCCGAATATCTAGCAGCTTTGACCTCTCTAGCTTTACATTCCGCAGTGGAGAGAATGGGAACTTCAACTAATCTCGCAGCGAGGAAATTTTTAAGTGCACGTTTAAAAGGGACGTAAGCGAGTGAATCAACTGGTGGTGGTGTGTCCCAGCATGCTATTGGTCACCCTGGGTTCACCATGACTCCTGCAACGGAAAATTAGACCATAGGTGTCACCTTGTCTTACCTCTCTCTACTGACATTACTGCCCAAAGAAAATGCCCTCTCCCCCGTTCGGATCAGGAGATGTGACATAAGGATCGAGAAGGAGACACAAACTCACATTGATCATACTGCAAATCATCCCATTTGACCTGGTCATCAGCGATTCAGACCTCATACGACAATGGTACCTGTAAGATACCGCAACGAGCTATATCAGGTCATATTTCTGTATCTCACAAACATTCATCACTGCGGACCAGAAGTCACATGAACGGAACGGATGATAGAACCCATCACTGTGAACTGTGAGATACAAGAAGAGATTGCGCGATGGTACCATTCACTTGTAAACTGGGAAATACAGGGAGAGAAATCGTAATAACACCCATCAACCTAGACTTGGGAATCCACCATGAGGATGTGCAACAAGGAAAAACTCACAAAAGCCCAAGTCACCCAAGGCGCAACATCTTCCACATCCCCCGGTCCTAATTTCCTACCCGCTTTCACCTCCCATTCTTCTATAGGGATCATTTCTTCCGGAGGAGGTTGAATCCCGTCAATTCTCGGAGATCTCAATCCGGGACTAGGAAGAGCGGAAGCTGAACGAGGTTCGGGTGTTTCAGAAGCTGATTCAGAAACGACTCTAGATCTACGACCTTTCTTGATTGACAGACGGTGTTTTGGTGGGAAGAGCATAACGTCAAGAACTCTGTCGACGGTCTGAGAGATTAGTGGCATGTTAAGTATAGTCCCAGACGTCCAGAAGGGACGAGAATAAATTGTTCGTCACATATCAACAAGTTTGTCCTAGGCACTTTTGGGAGGATGACAATGACAAAGGAACATGTCGGAGATATGAAAATATGGAAGGGTAGAAAGAAACGATGGGGTACTCATACAGTCTGCCAAGGAGAGTAGTGTGGAGATGACGAATGTGGGATATGTATGTTATGACTGTATGTTGAGAGGAAAACAAGACTCACCTTCCACTCATTCGGTATACTTTCAAACCCATTGACATCCGGAGGAGGTCCATGTCCGACCCATTCATTCCCAGGTTGATGATGTGAATGAACTTGTGACCCATGTACTTTATCATCTTCATCCAAAACCCTCGCGATGGTAGGTTGTTCCATTTCATCTCCTTTAGCAGCCAAAGTTTCGTCTGTAATAAGATCTAAAGATGGACCTTTTTCTAGGAAATGACGTAATTTCTGAGGAGCAGCAGTGAGTAACCAAGTGTGTGGGACCCATGTTGCCTGGTATGTAAGCTCTGTACTTATTTCTGACTTTTTCTACTCTTCAATGAGATAAGTACCACGAGTATCTCTTTTCAGTCACCTGATCATTTGACGGGTTGTTAATATGACCCGTTGAAAGGCTTGTAAAGGGGAAATTCTACCAATCCATCTGCTATCTCCTACACCAATACCTATGTTGAGAAACACCCTTCTTTCTCGTCACCATGAACAAAAACGGACGATCCATGCGCTTTTTCTTTGTGTACAATGCGAACGAAAACGTTGTATGCTGCGAGTGAAAACGGAGAGAAACAAAGCAGAGTGAAGAAGTAGCAAGATATGACTCCAACTCACATGCCTGAAACCCCTCCCTGTCCATTTGACCAGGTATTCCCTAGGTAACAAATCTTTATACCTCGGTAATTCCCCTGGATCTCTGGGATCTTCCTTCGCATCAGCAGGTAAAGGACGCCAAGCGATGATCTGGTTGTTAGCGAGGGTGCAATTTCATTCGAATAGGTACAGACCCCAGCCAAGCCTCCCAAGGAAGGGAAGAGAGGTACGGAGGCTTAGTGGTAATAACGAAAAACATCTCAACGCACAATATCAACAGCCCAAATCCATTCTCTACATTGATGACACCACCATTGATCTTTGACCCTTTTATTAGATGAATGTTGATAATGAAAAGCCTTTTCAGCTAAAGGATGTTTTTCTCCTTCGACAAAAGGATTCCTAACTATTTCATCAGTCCTCCCAGCTTCTTCTCCTCTTTTTAATTGATAAAAGGTCACTCACGATGAGAATAATGAGCTGTTTGTTTACATCTTAAACATCTGAACAATATAGATGACAATGTTTCCTTGTCCTTCTCCTTATCAGGAATATCTATCTCCATTGGTTGTGGTGATTTCACTTTCACTTCATTGGTAACATCTCCAGTCTCGTTGTCTACTTCCATTTCCCCGTTTACTTGATCTGGTTTTGGGGTCGTAGGAGATTTGTGTGTTTCAGTTGGAGATTTCACATTTTCAGATGAAGCTTTATCACCTTCAGAAACGGATTTCGCGCTGCCAGAAAGGACGGGTTCATCTTCAACTTTGTGACAAACGAAACATTCTTGCGTGATTTTACACCTTGCACATGTAAAAGAAGCTGATTCGTCTATTGCAACTGTACGACGCTTGGATTCTGGACCTTCTTCTCCTCTTAGGTCGTCCAGGACTTCCTTCTTTTGATTTGGTCCTAGACAGCCCTAAGAAATTAACATTTTTTCCGAATGAAAAAGTACCGAACGAACACCTCTGATGACGATGATGCAATTTTGAGAAGGACAACATGACAAGAGCGAGAATTATTTCGACGGTCGCGGCTGGTAAATGAAGTGGGGATGGATCAACGATTCAGACCATGTGTCACGATGGAGGTAACGGGTGAGAAAGAGGTACAAGTTTGTGTAGAGGAGAAGGACTGAGAGCAACGAGGGATAAACTTACCCAATGAGAAGCCACCACACAAGTTTGACACTACTTCATCAGCTCTTCTCAAACTCCTTCAGACTACAAGCATCAAACACTGGAGCTTTATGTACGCTCGCACAACGAATAAAACAAATTTCCCGACAGAGAGATTGACATCGGATACCGAGGGGATTCAATTTTTTTTCGAAGTCCTTTTGGGGAATTGTACTCACCTCCAACCATCCCTCTAGGGAATTAGCCAGCTCCTCGTCGCTCATCTCATCTTCTTGTCTCTTCTTTTCCTCCCTGGTTTCTTCTTCCTAGCCTGGGCGTTCTCGAGAAGTTCATCCGCTGGA